ATATAGATTTTTCAGAAACTTAAAACACAGCTCTGCTTTGCAGGAAAATACACTGCCTACAAGGTTGTTTTTTAATTTTATTTAACTTTTAGGAAATTCTGATTTATTATGTTTAGAGGTGTTTGTAAGCTTGATTGCTGCACATGACAAAGCCAAGCTTTAACAGTGTGGAAACCATGAACAGAAAGGTTTTGGTCATCTACAGAGTGTGTTAAATCACCATCAGGATGTTTTCCAATTATTTTACAAAAATTGTACAGATTTTAAGTTAAGATATTTAAATGCCATTAATCAATCATACCAGCACCACTTGTGCCACTGTAGTAAAGATTACATCAGTGTTTCCATTATTAAAACCCTATTTTTCAGAGTTTTCTAATTCAGCCATAAAAATTGGCTCCAGCCTAGAGCTTGGCAACCTAAGTCACCACTTGGGAGCAATTCTTTTAACCATTTTTTTTTTTTTTTTTTTAACGGATTGGCCTTTCAAGCTACAAAATAGTTCAGAAAAAGAAAATTAGTGGTTTCAAATTTTGGTGAACTTCTATCCCTCAAAAACATTGTTCTAAAACCTGACAATTTTGTGTGTCATAGATCTGTAATGTGGACTGCTGCTTTTGGGTAATTTGGATAGAAGCAGTAGATAAAAATCACCAGTTTATTTTGTTTAAATATAAATGTAATTTCCCATGAAAACTTTTAATCCAATAAAATTTTCACTGATCTTTCTCATGGCAAGATGTGGCAGACAGTGCATGAAGAAGCCTTTATGACTGATTTATGCAGCATCTATTCCATTAACTTTAATTTCTGCTGTAAGAGGTATATAATATTGTATTTTGATTTCTTGAATCAAACCTGCCCATCTTCAAGACAACATTTCTGCCCTTTGGTAGAACAGATCCACCTGTGAGCTTGACATGGTTCCTGATGAAATTATGTGCAAGAACAGAAAAAGAAGAAGAAAATACTCTGAAAGCAGCAAAGCAATAGAACTCCTTTAAAATTTATGTTGTTTAGAAAGATATGTATTAAGTACCAATTTTAACCCACTTCTAATAGTCTCAATTTTTCTCATGCACATTAACTTAAAATATAAGAATTGTCGTCGTGGTTTGAGCCTGTACGGCAGCCAACCACCACGCAGCCACTCTCTCTCCCTTCTCTTCCAGCAGTAAGAAGGGACAGAGAGCCAGGCTTGGGGCTCGAGATAGGACTGGGTTGGGGAAAAAATCCCCCTTTATGGTCACGAGCAAAAGGCAGACTCATTAGGGGAAGAAAAAAAGAACATACATTTATTAAAGACACTAATAACACGTAACAGAGTAGGAGAGTGAGAAGCATTGACACATTTTGAGAACACCTTCCCCCCACCTCTCCCTTCTTCCCGGGCTCAGCTCTGCTCCCGATATCTCTACCTCCTCCCCCAGGGGCGCAGGGGCAGGGAATGGGGGGTGCAGTCAGCGCTGCCACTTTCTCCATCTTTGGTGGGGGCAGCTTCTGGAACTTGTTCCCCCTGCTCCATCGTGGTCCCCCTCTCACAGGAGACAGTCCTCCACAAACTTTCTCCAACATGAGTTCCTCCCACGGGCCGCAGCGTTCCCCACACTGCTCTGTCACGGGTCACCAACTTTCTCCGACTGGATTCTCTCCCATGGCTGCAGCCCTTCCCGAGCTGCTCCGGCGTGGGACACCCCCATGTGCTGCAATCCTCCCAGCGCTGAATTACAGCAGTGGGGCTACCTTTTCCCACAAGATCCCAGCCTTCTTCAGGCACAGCACCTTGATCATCCAGGTGGAAGCCACAGGCCATAAATCAGTGTCTGCTCCACCGTAGATCTCCATGGGTGGCAGGGGGGGCCGCCCTGCCGTCTCCCCACAGGATACAGGGGGGTGTCTGCTCCGGCACACCTCCCCCCTCCTTTCTTCCTCCGTTCCTCCACTGACCTTGGTGTTCATGCAGCTGCAGCAACTCCTCCTCACAAGTCCCACTGCACGTCACCACGTCCCTTCTTAAATACGTTATCGCAGAGGCACAGCTCATTGGCTCAATTTTCCAAACAGAAGTGGAGCTGACTTGGAGCTGGGGGAGCTTCGAGAAGCTTCTCAAAGGGGGCCACTCCTATAGCCCCTTCCCCTGCCACCAAAAAAACCACCACTCACTCAACCCAGGACATTTATCAATTAGGTTTTAAACCTAGTTTAGCTCTAACATGTTAAAAAGTCCTTTGGATGCTGATTTCAGTAAAACACCTCAAATGAACAACACGAACATGATTTGATGTTCAGGATCTCAGAAGCTCTCATGAATGCTGGCTCAGCAAAAGGGAATGACAAACCCAGTCCCATCCATTGCCTATCAAATTCAGCAAAACTTGTCAACAGCCTCAATAAGATTTGGACTGAATCTTCCATGCAGTCTGAATTCCTAGTAGAATTTTTCCTTAATTCATATTTAGGCAGCAAATTGGTTTGGAAAGCTGTTTCCCTAAGTTCCAAGAAGCTTAACAGCTCATATGCTTTTTTTGAAAAGTATTTTAAATACATAATCATTTCTAAATTATAGCATTATTTGCTTGAGGGGAGGATGTCTGGTTTATATTTAGCCCTTATATAATCAGTGTCAATTTTTAATACCACACTTCTTGGCATTTGTCAGTTTGCTACAAAGCTGTATTTTCTTTTCTTCAAACAGAAATTGGCAATGAAAAAACATTAGAGATATTTGCACCCTTCCCGACACCATTTTGTGACATCAGGCCGGTGAATGTTAATACAATCTATACCATAAAAGTTACCACCTTCATATTTATCGAGCTTTCAAGGAAACTATCTTTTGATTGCAAGAAAAAGAAAAATACCATTGGACATAGAGTAGATTCATAGAAAGCAAAGAAAGTACTTGGATTTTTTTTTTCCCCCCCTTTTTTTTCTTTTTTTTTTTTTTTTTTTTAAACACATCAAACTATATGTACAGATACTCATAAATGTAAGTAGTAAGACAACAGAAAAAAGCCCAAAGAAAACAGAAAAGACTGATTCAGTTACAAAGACAGATGTTGTACTTACTGGTTTTGGTGTTCCATTAGCAGATATTGTTACTGTGCTTTTATATTTGTTTTGATATCAACTGATATTCTTTTCACATCAGCCTTTAAGTGAAAACTGTAACACTGTGAACACCTTTTCTGATTACTTTCTTAGTGTACTAGGGCTGGAAAGCTAGATGGACTATTAACCAAATCCTGACTACTTCATATTTAAATTGAATGAAATACAATATTGAAAATCAACATTAATTTTTAATAACCATTAAAAAAAAAAAAAACCACAACCCACAAACATTGACTCACTCTAAATCTCCAATAGGGGTGACCAAGCTTCCTCACCCTATAAGCCACCCACCAAATGTAAGATCATTAAGTTCAAGACCCTGCTTGATATTTTCCACAGCTAGAACTAGTAACAAATGCTGATCCATAAGGAAAAGGGAAATGGTTGTGGAAAAGGAGAAACTGAGTTTATTTACACATTGCACAAAGAGCATGGACTCTAGCAGACAATTGCACGGTGGCCCTAGCATCAGGCACAACAAAGAATGAACTGTGACAGGGAGAGGATGGAAACAGAAGTGCACTGCATGCCCAGCAGAAGGAAAGCATGCAGACCTATTCATAAGTTGTGTGTGCAATTATCTCCACCAGAGAGAGAACAGAGCACACACTGTAGGGAAGGTGTCCTAAAAATGCAAGGTCCTGTAAGACTTTTTCAGATAAGAAACTCAAACTTCATGGATTCAGAAATTCAGCAGATCTCTCTGAGGCTTAAAGATGGTTTTGTTCATACAACAGGAAGCTCGACTCTTTCTCCAAGAATAACATTCTCAACAGAGGTCATAAGAATCCTAAAGCATCTAGCTACTGTTGAAATTAACTTCAGCACACTTTAAGAAAAGAACCTGTTCACTGCAAATCACTTAAAAAAATAAATATACGCTGGTTTACGGTAGGAGATAATGTTTTCTCAAGAGGACAAGTGGAGTCCAATTTCAACCAGGGCTGATGATAGAAGAGATCACAGTTTATACTAGCATTTATCAGCTGCAGTATCCCCTAACCAGAGGCACCTATACAGAAACCATTCTCTTCCTTTAGCCAAAGATCACTTAGTAAAACCACCATGGTGTTCATGTATTTGGGAACTTAATCTATACACCTTAAATTAGATCTCGTAACATCAGAATTTAATTTTAAAGGCTCATAATAAAGACACATAATCACATTGTCCATGCACTTCTGTGCACACTCAAACATACAAATAAAGAAAATCTGGTGGTCAAAATTCACAAAATTCAGTTTGGTACATGCTGAGCATAATCAACAATGTAAAAGCAGTTCTTGATGAAGATGTATTAAACTACCACTGACTGAAAATTGCATGGCATTTCAATTAGATTATTCTTAAGAACAAATAAAATTTAATTTAGTTATGGCCTTTTACATAATATAAGGAGGCAAGGAAAAAAATCAGTTTTTAGACTTTTATAACTATGATTTGTCTTCACACTTTGTAAACTGAAAGTCCAAACTGAAAGCAATGTGTGGCATAAAGAGAGTTGGCAAACAGAAGGAAATTTAGAACAGTGGACTCAGTGGTGATACAAAGAAGACAGGGAAATGAGGAAAGTCACCAAGTTTTGAAAATTCACTGGTTTCCTCACTGAAAAGCAAAGTGAAAAACAAAAACAAACAAAAAAAAACCCACAAAAGAATAAAACCATGAAGTTGCATGCACATAAAAGGCAAAACACACAATTTGAAACCCTTCACTTGCAAAGAACTTCTGAAGCATACCTTTTTCTTGAAGAAAGGGGAGAAATCATCAAATCGATATAAGTATTCCTGTCTCAAAAGGTTGAGCAGGCTGTTATCAGAAAAAATCAGTATTTTCATTTTAAAAATTGACAGTGCCAATGGTTCAAAAGCTTTCCCACTGCTTACCGTGTTGCAATGTTGTAAGACTCTGGATGAATGCAAGTTTGGTCCAACGGATTGGGCTGTCGCAAGGCATATGGTGTTGGTTTGCTCTTCTTTTTACCCTGTGCACCTGCTTTGGTTAGAAGTGCATGACTTCCAAGTCCGCTTTTCTTACTACTGTCAGAAATGAAAAATTGACATTCTATTCTTAATGAACAAAATTCTAGCCCAGTGCTCACACATGAAAAACTCAGGCTTTTATATAATGGTCATTCTTTAAAATAAAAAAAAAAAAAGCACAAAGTCCTTAAAAGGTCATTGTGAGTGAATCTTAACAATGCAACTATAGCATAAAAATAAACATGTCAATGTATGCATAAATTAATTTAAAATAGAAACAAATATTCTGAAGGGATTCCATGCTTCATCAGAATTTCTTCATGATGACAAGATTAAAAAGAAAACACTACACAACCTATTGTATTGTTTGCAACCAGAATAGCACCTTCTTTCTGTAAAATGGGGAAAATTGCATTTACCTACTTGATAAAGAACTTCTGAGGATATTTTCATACTTAACTGTTGATTAATAGCTGCAACATTTTAAATTTGAAAAATGTATAAACAAAAATTCCTATTCATACCATCTTTAGGTAAGAAAATTTCATGTCAGGCATACGTTCAGAACAAGGAAAGTATGTGAATTCTTAAACATCAGAACTCCTTAAACCACATTTACTGACTACATAAATTTCTGAAGAGATCTGCTTAAACATGGTCCAGGTCAAAACATGAAAACTTTCAAACCAAAAGAACTCAGACCAAGATTTGCTTAGAACAGAAAAAAGCTAAAGGTCAAATCTACCACTGATATAGAATTTATAAACCAATTTTTGCAAAAGTATCTTAATACAGCTTTCCTTAAAACTTAGTTAATAAATTACTGACTCCTAATCAGTTAGTTTCAGGTAGCATTTGGACTGGGTGCTTCCCCCCCCCCCCCCCCTTTAATTGGCTGGATAAAGAAAATGCTCCGACCTCTCAGAGAGATCCATGGACAGATTGCCCACATTGACAGGAGGACTTTACAGAAGATAGGAGAGAAAGAGATCTATCTTCATGTGTGTAGCATATTTACAACTGTCACACTTCTTCCTTTAAAGTTTTCCTTAAGTAAAAAACATGTTCAGGATACAGTAAAGGCACCAAATGATTCCTACTAGATAAGGCTCCTTTCTTGCCTCCTTTCCTTTTTATTTTTTTTCCCTAAATCACAAGTGGTTCCTGCTTTTGCAGAACAAAAGAGAACACACTGAAGGTCCTGGAACTAGCACTTGCACTTCAGGCTCTACCTATGCATTGACTGTTGGCAGAAATGCAGTCACAACTTTCTTTTTCTGTATCAATTTTTAAAATAACTGCTATTTGTTAACTTCCAAGTCCAAAGCAAAAAAACTAATCCATACAGCACTCTATAGCCATCAACATGATTAAAGAGGATGAAAATGAAATGTTCTCAAAGTCCATTTCAAAAACGTTTGTTTTTGCCACCTGGGCCCACAAGAAATGTTGTGGAGGCAATGGTTTTAGAGCTTTATTTTGGCCTCAAACTCCAAAGTTATAGCAGATTTCTCAGGTTATACAGTGTTCTCAAGTTTTATGGAATCTGACTAACATCAGAAGCATGCTCCAGCAAGGGAAAAAAAATAAAATACAATGTTCTTAAACATTTCACCAGTAAAGTTCTGGGGGGGAAAAAAAAAAAAAAAAAAAAAATCAGCCTTTTCTTCCTCTGTTGTTCTGCAGCATTCACTAGAACAGATCCATACAACGTAAGACCTATCGATCATCTACGGCCTTGAAAGCAATTTTATTGGTTTTCTGGTGCTTACAGTGCGCACCGTTTGGCCTGCAGCATGTGTCTCCCTGCCAGATGGGCAACCAATCTGTGTACCTTCCACCCGGGCAGTAAGCCAGTCCCAACGTGCCTACCTCCTGCCTGGAAGTTACGCGTGTGCTGTTTGGCCAGCAGCAACTGGGAATACAGTATGGCTTCTGAGCATTGGTTTGGCAAAAAGATAAGACATGCTTCCCAGGAAAATATTTCTTGAGAAGAGTCAGTGGCAAAAGGGTGGGCATGGTGCTACCACTGTGCGCTTTCTTAGTTCTTTATATTGGAAGGAAAAATGGGAAAGGCAGGAGAAAGAGGCATTGCCCTAGAAAGGGGACTTTCAGTTGTGGAGAGGAAGGATTTCGGGTCAAGAGGAGAACGATGAATAGTTTAAACAGGGAAAGACTAGGTACAGAAACAGGGAATGAGATGGCAGGGAAAAGGACTGTTGGCAAACTGGACTTGGGAAAGGGCCTCCCATATTTGATACAGAGAGCAGTCACATCACACTTGTTAGGCACAGGAGTGTAACACAGAGAGGGTTTGATCCCAGCAGCTTTCTCTCTCCAGGTAATGGAATTTAAACTCTGAAAATCCACTCTGCTCTGTTACATTCTTTACCACATTAAAGTAATAAGTAATAAAGTAATAAGTAATATTTACCACATTAAAATGAATTTACAAATCGCTAAATTATGCCTGAAACACAAAACTAAGGTTTTAGTATCTCAGATCATGACATTACCACATGCCAAATTTCTTCTACCAATTCAGTGGCAGAATTTGTAATTAAACTTACATGCTTATTGAAACCTCTGAATCTGAGTACTAGGCTAATAAGCCACAATTATTCAGAGGAAGAACTATCTTCAATCACTGTCTGAGAAGTTTATTTGTTAAGATGGTATCTTCTAGAGTACAAAAGCCTATGACTACTCAAGTCCAAGCCTGAACACAAAACAGAAAAGGGGAAAATGTCTTCTCATACTATTTTGGAAGATTTAATGAAGATAGCTAACATCTCTATTACCTGCAGAAGGTCTTTATATATTCTTGATTGAATCTGATGAAGCCAGCACACTGTTGGAAGGATTTGGGACCCAGACCTTTAACTTCCTTGAGCTGTTCTCGGTTTATAAATGGTCCATTCTTCTCTCGCCATTCAATTATATTTTTAGCTCTGTTAGCATTCAGTCCTGCAATATGTCTAAGATAAAATTTTACAGAACACATTTATTACCATTGAACAGTCATTAATACAAGTGCTATCCCTTATAAGGATACATATTACCATAGAAAATCTGGTTTACAAAACTTAAGAACAGCTAAGAAATTTGCAAGTAGACTCCCAGGCCAAAGGCATCATCTGGAAAAGGATCCCTTCTCTTAGCTCTACGGAAGGAATCCACTCAAGTCAACAAAATTTGGTACAGCAATACAGTTCTGCACATACCTTAACTAGTAAGCCAGGGATGTGTAATTTATGATCTGTTGGCTATTTTTGTAATGCCAATTCAATTTGTCATGTCTTATGGCATTCCTCCAGCTGCTCTCTTCAGGAAACAACATGGGAGGAGGGTTCAGGACAGACAGATTGTTCCTGTGAGAACAGCCTTCTCTCAGCTATTCTCTTCCAATGGTGCCGCAACACCTTGACCCAACATGAAGGGCTGATGCCTGTTATCCAGAAGGAGAGTGGCTGGGGGCCTCTTGCTTTCCTGACACAATTTAATAGCTCCCCACTGCTTGTTCCTTTTCTCTCAGCTCCTCTAGAGATAAAAGAGCAGCTGAGAACAGGCTGCATGAATTGTTCTGAGGGCAACTAATTTCTGGCAAAGGACTTACCTGTGAAGTGTAACTGCAGTTAGCCAAGTTCCTTCAGGAAGCAGTGGGTTTGCTGCACATTTTTTGTGTGTATGTGTGAGTACAGGTTTCTGTGTGTGGAGTATGTTAACCATAGAAAGAGAGAAAAGAGCTGTGGTGGGCAGTTACTCCTGGTACTAGAGAATGAAATGTCACCCATTTGGGTTTGTATATCAGATGCCATTGCTTTAAGTCAATGGCAGCAGAGACCCATTTATGGAATGGCCCAGGCTGATTCTAAAAAAAAAAAAACCAAACCCACCAGCAAACCTGGCAAGAATAGTCAATAATCAAGGAAAAAAAAAAAAATCCTTCCATTATTCTCATCCTCAAGCAAAAGTTAAAAATATTAATCTGAAGTTGGTGAAACCTCAGAATTAAACTGCAGAGACACACCTTTAACCACAGACAAATTATTAATCACTAGGAATGGAATTATCTTCAAAATTTTCTTAGAAACATTATGAAATCCAGCTTATTTAAACTGACAAAGGAACATGACACAGAGTTCACAGAGTTTTCCACTGATGATCTCAAGTCTTTCAAGTATGATACTCAGCAGCAATGTAAATACTGTAGCATTGTCATCCCTTCCACATGCAGTATCTGTCAAGAAGTGTATTTGATACATCAGAAAGCACGAGCAGAAGGCCCTGCTCATTGTATATCCTATCTAGGGTGACAATTTCATATACTGTATATCTGAGGGAAACTTAGACTGCATCTACACAGAGCGGCATAACTGAACTGAAGGGGATCGTGCTAGATCTAAAACTTGATGCAGCACATGCATACGAGAATCCTAAGCCAGGTTAATTAGACCAAAATACTTAGCCAACATGGTTATGACCTGTAACCATGACTGGCCAATGTCACTCCACATTCACAGTTTTGTGGAGGCACAGTAGCACCTCAGCCTGGTGCCCTCTGCTGAACTGCACAATACAGTTGTATCCTGCGGAAGGCTGACCGTGCTCACCTGCTGCACTTGCTCAGCTAGGCTTTTACTCATGGAATACAAGCAGGTCACCCTCATTTACTAGTAGGTACTGTTTGCTTTCTTACTAATAGCTGATAAAATCTGAAAGAAGGTAAGACAGAGGCAAATCAGGAGTCAGGCCAAGGACTGGGTACATGGAAGAAAGAATATGGAATTGAAAGTGGAAACAAAAAAAACAGACTAGCAAGAGAGCCTCTTCCAAAATATGGAAAGATGTTTTCAAGGAATTATTATAAGGGATTAAAAAAGTAAAGATAAAGCTAGCAAGAATACATTTTTCCTAACTTTGATACCTAAAACAATTGTCACTACCAAGATTATGGACATTCTTTTTCTTCCCCTCCTACTACAGGAGATGACAGCAATATTTCTGATCTTCTGAGAGGCTTTTTAGCTAAATGATTCTGAATTCTACACACTCAAGAGAGAATGAGCTTTTAATTTCTAACCAAGAGAAATAAAATCCAGAACATTTTCCAAGTAAATATGGCATAATTACTTAAAAAAAAAAAATCAGTAAAAACGGATATACTGTTCAGCATTTTCCCCTTAAATCTTTCCTTTTCTCCTTTCCTCGCCCAACTTTTACAACCTGTTCCACTTAGCAGCACCTATAAAAATACCTTCTAAGAGACAGAAAGTACATTTGAAAACCCCTTTCTCAGTGTAAAAATACAAATTAATTATATAAAGTTTTCTAAAATTGCAGTGTTGGCTCAAAATATTTAAATATCTGTTTTTCTCCAAAGAATAGTTTTACTCTGGAGAATCACACATACCCTTAAAAACTGCCTCTTAATGATCCAGTGAAATACTGTCTTAATGTGTCATTTTCATGTAATTGGAAGTTTAACACAAGAGCCATTTGCTCCAGCTGAGCTTGAGTCAGATGGCAGACTAAACAGAGACTCTGTGATCCAGAGCCATGTAATTACTGGAATAGGAAAATGTTTGACTCACCTTAATAGTATTTCTGAGCAGATGTTAATATCAACTCCTACAAAGCTGACACACTCTTCAACCACACTGTCCAGAGTTGCTTTGAGCAAAGTCTGTGACACATCATGCTGAGAAACAGAAATGGAGATACCGGGTTACTGAAATATCAAAGTATACATAATTAAGAACTGCAAACAACACTAACACTAATAAAATAGTTGCTGGAACTTTTCAATATCTTATATGAGGGTACCAGTTAAAAACATAAATTGTAGAAGCTTTCCAGTATCTGTTTGCAACATCTTTGTCATGATACAAATCCACAGAATAAGACACTCCACATTACATGATGCAGGGGAAAAGTTATTAAAAAAAATACAGTAAAAACAAAACTATATTAAACAGATAATGATTACTCAAAAGGAGTAATGCTTCTGTTCATCCACTGTCTTGTCTTTAATCTGACATTTATTTAGCTATAATATCAGTTTATTAAAAATAAGATAATTTAATAAAAAGGTATTTAGAGAAAAAAAGCACAAATGCTGTACTTTTGCACCTGTGTATACAAATTTTTCCAAAATTGTCCTAATTATGAACATCACACTACAGTACAGTTATTTACTAAAAGAACAAGGCAGGTATTGTATGAGGGTGGGCAATACATAAGGTACATATCAGCCCTGCAGCAACAAAATGTTTCAGATTTTGAACAGATATTTCTGGGAAGATTGGCAGGTCCTTGACCAAAGCACCACTAATGGAAATTCTTCCAGTTTTTCCATTATTGTTCATAGTTTTTCCCCCTTTTTTCCTCCTCTAAAAGAAAAATCAGTCACACTTGTCAAAGATAAAAGTTCTGAAGCTCTAAGATTTCTTTTCCTCCACAACGTAGGCATACTTCAAGCTATAACTGCTAGTTATACACAAGCCCATCAGTGCTTAGAAGTCAAACCTGGAGGGAGAAGCCTCTCTAAATGCAAGAGCTAATTCAATCACTATGTTGGCTTAGCTTCAGGGCTCTTATACGTCACTCATGTAAATCTGGGTTGATCTGTTGTGGTTTCATGATGCATTCATTTAGGACATCAAGCTGGATCCAAGCCAAGACACCAAACACTTCATCCACTACTTTGTTTTACCTTCTAAGCCATTCAGATCTTTTAAAGATTTCACAGTTAAATTTAACATGCCAACACCATCAATCTCAATCTACTAATATTGGTAGTTCATGAAGTAGTGGTTAATAACTGAAACAATTGTAAAACTTATGGCAATGTACTTCATAGCCCCCTCATTTCAGGTAATGGTAATGTGCTGTACTTTCATGATGTGACACATAACAAAGCTACTAACAGGAAATGCAAATTTTGCTAATGTTACTCCTCCCATATAAAGTTCACATGCAAAAAGCCACATACATGCCGAAGTACCGGCATTTGCACAGTCTTGGCCTCACAACCATAAAGCTTACTTGTATACTTTGCAGACCAAGTGTCAGTTTCTACTTACTAATGTGTGGCTTCTTTTATGAATAAAGAGATATAAACAATAAACACACACCCTAAAAAGTTTTATGTTTCTGTATTTCTGACTTACTGAAGAAGCAGCTTCTCTTAATGAGGATGTTCTATATATTCTCTTCTCCTCCTGCCATCAGGCAGGTAACATACTAGAGCTATAGGGTTGCAGCTCACACTAAGACAAGAATGTATTTATATAACAGTTCAAGAACCAGAATAAAACTGTTCAGAAACAACACTAACATTTTCTCTTCTGTGCAGCCAAAGAACAGCTGCCAAATACTGGGCTAGATTTTCCATGATGAACCACAAATTAAAAAAAAATTAATAAGATGAAGACACTAAACTAACTTTTTTTTTTTTTTCATTATGATGGAGGAAAGCAAAAGGAGTAAAAAAAATGCAGAATACTCAAAATTTCCTTCTACTTTTAGGAAAAGCTACTGACTCCAAGGTACTTGGAAGTTGATTAGTGTGTAGTTTTGCAAGTTACATTAACAAGTTCCATTAACTTTTGCAGTTCTTGGCCAACCTCTAAAAAAATCTTGGTCTAAAACAACTACTCAGAATATAAAGTAGAGTCTGTGGCAGAGTATGGTAGACTGTTTCCCTAGGTTTCAGACTCATTCCTTAAGATATTATTCCTTCAGAAGGAATAACATGCTGTTATGTGATTCAAAACTGAGACATTCGTCATTGTCTCCACAATGCCTTACAGCATAGAGTGTAGCAAAGAAGGTCATCTATAGATCTGGCCTAATCTTTCTAAGCAGTTCTTCAGAAGAGAGTTGACTCAGCAGAGGCTTTATTTCCAGTCTGCTCCTCCCGAAACAAGAAAAAGATATATCACAATCAAAAGCTAAGCATTCTGAAATACCTCTGCTAGTGGAAGAAAGACCAGTGCTCACAGATCCTCAGTTTCAAATGCAAAGTTGGCATTTATCTGAAGATTTAAGTTTGTGGATGAAATAGTTTGTGTAAAATTCATGTGACAGAGCACACACAATTTGGACAAACTGTAATATTCAACTGTCTATTTCTTTTGCCAGGAAGGCAAGAAGTTCTCAGGTCTCTCAAAGATGATTGGTATCTTTTAACTTCATTGCTGCTTGACAGGTGCCATGAAAAAAGAAAACAAGACATGCACAAGTTGTTCTTGATTATTCCAACACATAAGAATTGCGCCACTTGGAATGGACATCACAGCATGTATGTGAAGATACCAATAAAGAAAAAGTGCAGATGTGACAGAACTGGATAAGCATAAGACAGCATGGTTAAAACAATGCCCAAGCTACCAATAACTCACAGAAGTAAGATACATTCAACTAGTGAATGACGTTAGGTTAAAACACTAGGAAAAACTTTCCAGACGGCAAGTCCGCCTCCCAAGATGCAGCTGCTGACCACCACAGCTTCCTTTTGCTATGATGATGAAATTTCTACATCCTTCTTTACATTGATACAAAGCACAGAGAAGTGTTGCGAATTCAGCTTTTAAAAGTAGTTGATCTAAAACATTATTATCCCAATACCATTGTCAAGACTTCATACTGCTAACAGGTGATGTTTCAGAAGGGTTTAAATTGCGGTGCATTTTCCAGTGTTCCAACAATTTCACTCATCTTTTCAAATATCAGAGGTTAGATGAAATTATATACTTTATATGCACCGGAGTGGTATCAGATTATTCAGACACCACCAGAAGCACACATACTTCCATACTACTCATTCACTACAACATGTCTGTAAAATCAGCAATCCCTCTAAGCTGCTGCATTAAGTGCAACAGAATAAAACATGCACAAATAAAGGCCAAGTCCGATATGTAAGGCTACTTTCAAAGTGTGCTTAGGCAGAATTTTATGTTGCACAGCCTCCAACAACCCCTCCAACACACCAATGTGGCAGATCGTTGTTTCAGTTGATACTCTGCAAATTCTTCTAAATAAAACAGTTTCATATTAGTACTAACTCTGAATGCACCCCTATCTGTGAGGGTGTCCCCGCTAAAACTGCTAAGTATTGTCTTTTTATTTTAATCAGAGTAACTCTTAATTACTATTTTTATCTGTGGAACAAATACCACAATTGCCCCCACAACTTCCCTTACAAAACCAGGATAAACTAGCTCCCTCAGACAGCTAAACCATTTGTACCAGGAGCTTACGGAGAGTCAAGCACTCGAGGTGCCTCAACAGCTATGCCCAACAAGTGGGAGCATGACCTTTGCTGGGATTTTCAAACCCCATCTTCAATTTACCACCCAAACAAATCACTCAAGTTTTATTAAAAGGATACTCAGAAATTACTACCATTAAAACATTCACTGCTGGAATAGTAGATCTGGAGCAGAAGACTTAATTTTGTATGATAATCTCCAAGCAATAAAAAGGATTGATACCCCCGTTTTATGGAAACCAAGGCCAGTAGAAATAAGGGACTTAGCACAAACTGCAGGATGTCCAGTGCAAATCTGAACTTTCTTTTGTCATCACTCTCCAACAACCAAAGCCACCTGGCTTCACAGATAACACTAAGAAGTACTTAGACACCTGTTTGATTTGATTTTTTTTTTTGTGCGAAGGACTGCAGAAATTAATCTGCCCTTAGAAATATCAGGCACTGTAACCATATTTTAGTATTTGTTTTCTAAGGAATTATCAGGTGAGTTAGGGAATAAGATACATAAAATTAAATTACTTAATTGAAACCACTACAGTAAATAATTTTAGTTGACCAATACATGGAATTCAAACATTACAAATTTTATAGTATTTTTATAAAGAGAATCCCAAATATTCCAAATGTAACTTGCATTCGGGAACCTGGAAGAAAATCAATGGCTGCTGTTTTGGTTTCTGGTCATGATTACCACTCAAATTAGTCTGTGGCAAATTTGTTAAAATTGGCAGAAAAAAAGATTATATTGCATATTTTAAAACCACCATTCTGCAAACCCATGCTGAGAAAGTCACTATAATTTCATTTTGTGTACTTTCATTAAACACAGCACAGAATGTTTAACACTAAGAAAGAGTGTTTAAGAACACCTGTCTCATGCATATGACAGTTTTGTCCTATTATTATATCCCAGTACTTCAGCTATCTTTTCTTTTTATATGGTATGAAGCAGAGAGCAAGGATTGTTGTTTTGCTCAATTTCAAAAGCTATGAACACTCACTGGAAATAAATTAGCATTACTAAAACCTTCAGAGGGTGCTACTACAACTGTAATTGAAAGACATTTTCCAGTTTCAAAACCCTGTTGATGTACACGAAAGGAAAGCTGTATTTTCAATAGCTTCTCAGGTCAGTTATTTCTAGCAGTATACCAGTACAGACTCTGTAGAAACATTTGTCATGAGCATGACAAATTTATCAGGTCAAAGAACGACTGTTCACATGAAACCTGAAGGCTGTACTTAGCCAATCTGCATGAACATAGATGGTGGACCAGTACACTGACTAATTTTGCCTGACTAAACACACTAAACACTAGATTGCTAGTACTAGACTAGAACAACCCTAACCAGCAGCTTTTACATGGAAGTAAAGTACAACTCTAAGCTCCTTACATTTGGTAACCTACACACACACACAC